TACATGTGCATCCATACTCACACACGAAATAAATGAAACACTTTTTAGAGATAGGGTCTTGCCATGTAACTCTGGCTGACCTGGGGTTTACTGTGTAGACCAGGCTGGCCTTGAACACACAGAGATTTGGCTGCCTCTGCTTCCCGAGTGCTGGAATTAAAAACAAAAAACATGCTGCCACTCTGACTAATTTCATTTTATTCTTTCATCAGTGTTCCATATTCTAAGAGATACTTTCATTTATTGCTTTAAGTATATGCCATAGATTTCATTGTTAATCACATCTGGAGTCAGTATGGGTTTTTTGTTTTTTTAAAGATGTATTTGGAGTGCATAGGGAAGCCAGAAGAGGATGACAAATCCTCCAGAACTGGAGTTTCAGATCACTATTAGCTGCCATGTGGGCACTAGAAGTCAACCTTGAGTCGTCTGGAAGAGTAGAGTGTTAACTAGCAAGCCAACAAGCCTTCTCTCCAGTTCTGGATTTGTTACTGTTTCCTTCTGTTGTTTTGTTTCATTTGAGACACAATCTCACTATGTAGCCCTGACTGGCCTAGAACTCACTTTGTTGGCCTCCAACTCATAGAAACCGACCTGCCTCTGCCTCCTAAGAGCTCAGGTAAGTAGAAAGCATGGTCAACATGCCTGTCACTTGATTTTTTTTTTAAATCTATTATTTTGCTAGGAGTTTAATTTTTTTTCCAAATTGGACTTTAAAAAAAGGCTTTCTTCTAGCCAGGCGTAGTGAATGTTTCATGTTTTCTTTCTGGTGTAATAAATGGTCATTTAAAATGTTTATCTGTTTCTCTGTGTTTATAAACACATGTTATCATGCTCCTGTGGTAGTCAGAAGACACCTTTGGGGAGTCACGTGGGCTGGAGCGTCACATTCAGGCGGCCAGGCTTGGTAGCATGCACCTTTACCCATTCGGCCATCTTGCCCACTCTAAATGATAAGTTTTAATACATGAGACTAGACATATTTCTATTTCAGTATGGGATATTTGTGCAAGGGTGGGTGGATAATTTAGTAGAATGCTGCCTCACGTCATAAAGCCCTGAGTTTGAGTCTCAGGACTCACACTAAAAGCCAGGCTTGGGGGCATGTGCATGAAATCCCAGTGATGGCCGGATGGGAGGTGGAGACTGATGAATCCCTGGAAGCTGAGTGGCCAGTCCTTGTCTCAACCAAAAAGTAGAAGGCACCTGAGAAATTCATCCAAGCTAGTCATGACCTCCAACCTCCACACGCACCCACATACACATGTACTTGCACACATACACCCAGCCACACATACATGCACTCCATACACACACACACACATGCACTCACATGCGCCCAGCCACACATACATGTACCCATGTATACACATGCACTCACACACACATACACCGAGCCACACATACATATACCCATGCATACACACATGTACCCATCCACACACATGCACCCCCATCCACACACATATGCCCATCCACACACACATGCACCCACCCACACACACATGCACAACTCATATACACATGCACCTAGCTGCACATACATGTACCCATGCATACAAACATGCACCCATACACAAACACATGCACTCACACACATATGCACCCAGCCACACTAAATGTACCAATACATACACACATGCACTCATACACACATGCACCCAGGCACACACATGTACACCCTTACACACACATATGGACACATATACATGTAAAGTAGAACATTCAATGTATACTTTGTAGAAGCCACCTTCATATATATGGCTTTGTGTCCTTTAGTCTTAAAGAGGACAGTGGTGTGTTAAAACTCTGTTCTTCCCAGCTGTCTGTTTCCTCTGCTGCTGTTGCACAAATGCCACGTGCTTTGACAGAACACAGCCAATGGGAAAGGAGGGCACACAGGATTTGGGCCCAGGCAGAGGATTCCAGAATGTCATTCCAAGCTGACAAAACAAATAGCTGAGTCTGTAGCTCTGGTGGTTGGCACATCACGATTGTTAAATGAAGCCCTTAACATTATGCTGTCCCTCTTTGTGTCTCTTCCTTCAGTTCTGCACGGTGAGACGAATGTTGCGGTTTCTGTTTTCTGTGAGCTTTGTGTCTGAACTGTTGCTGCCCCCTCCACTCTTTGGTCTTTCTGAACCATTCATTCTGTGCCCGTCTCCTCTAAACACAGGAATGCATTGGTTTGCACACTGTTTGGAAATTCTTTTTCTTTGAGTAGGTGGATTAAGGGCTCTCACATTTACTGACTGGACTCATGCTAGGACTTCTGTTTACTGCGTGCACAAAGCTGCAATTTCCATGTATTACTGGTTATATGACCTGTTGCCTTTTCTTGAGGACAATTTGCATTTGTTAAGATTTATTCATTGTGTGTACATGAGGGTATGCATGTACCAGGACACCTGTATGGCAATCAGAGGACAACTTCTGGAGTCAGTTCTCTCCTATCACACTGGGTTGGACTCAGGCGGCAAACATCTTACCTGCTGACCCATCTCCATAGTGTTGACATTTGCATTTTTCTTGCTTTTAAAAAACTTATTGCTGCGCGGTGGTGCCACACGCTTTTAATCCCAACACTTGGGAGGCAGAGACAGGCAGATTTCTGAGTTCGAGGCCAGCCTGGTCTACAGAGTGAGTTCCAGGACAGCCCACGCTATAAAGAGAAACCCTGTCTCGAAAAACCAAAAACAAAACAAAACAAAAAACAAAACAAAAAAACCCCCAAAACTTATTATATTGATTATATAGTATTTTTTAACACTAATGCCTTTCCTAGTACTTAATAGCTTTATTGCTCAGTTCTCCATTTTCATTACTTAAGCCTCAAGTATTTGCTTTGCAATTTTAAATATTTTCAACTCCTCAAAATGGCACGTGCAACAATGAACTCTGTACTTCTTATTTCTCCTCTCCTGTGCTAGTTGGCTTCAGCTGCCGATCTGACACAGTCTAGACTCATCTGAAGGACTCTTCAACTGAGGGGCTCCCCTGATCAGATTGGCTGGTGGCCATATCTGTGAGAGACTGTCTTGACTGATGGTTGATGTGGGAGGGACCAGCCTACCGTGGGTGGCACCATTCCTAGGTCTGTGTGCCTGGGCTGTATAAGAAACACAGCTGAGCACGAGTCCGAGATGAACCAGTAACTAGCATTCCTCCATGGTGCCTGCTAAGTACCTGCCTTGACTTCCCTCAGGGATGACTGTGACCTGGAAAGGGAAGATTAAATTAACCCTTTCTTCCACTACATTGCCTTTGATCATGGTGTTCATCACAGCAAGAGAAAGCAAACGAGGACATCTCCCTTTGTCCTATGCTAGCTGACAACTTTGTCCAAGCAGTGCCATTTGACATTCTTCCATGTCAGGTTCCCCCTTTGGCTCCTTAGCAAATCTTAGCTAAGGCATGACTAAAACACTGGACAGCTTAGCTAGGTAAGAGACCTAAGCACACTTTGTCCTTTTCTTGCATCAGGGGTGAGGGGATGCACATTGCAACAGCCTAAGTGTGAAGGTCAAAGGACAACTTGCTGGGGTTGGTTCTGTCCTTCCACCATGTAGACTTTGGAACTCAAACTCTGATCACAAGTCTTTGCAGCAAGCCACCTCGCTAGTCCTCATATTTTTCTTTGATAATGTTCCGGTGTGCCTGCCTGCATATTCAGTAACCTTTCCTAGTCTTGTTGAGTCTGGTGGGGCCTGTGGCGTTGGTTCTACCAAGATGCTTCAAAGACTGAAGAATGCCTGGGTCCATGAAACCATACTTTGCCAGGGTTCCTAGGACATGTGGTTAAGAATGGCACTGCTGAGTGGCTTCCGCTATTAAGTCAGGAGTGATAATAAAAGCAGTAGAGTTTTTAAAGGCTCTAGTCCAGCAAATACCCTTTTCCTAACCACTCCCCAAGCCCACTCAAGACCAATCATGCAAACTTAAACAAGCCGTGGTAGGGGGCTGGAGTGATGGCTCAGCAGTTAAGAGCACCGGCTGTTCTTCCAGAGGTTCTGAGTTTAATCCCCAGCAACTACATGGTGGCTCACAACCATCTCTAATGGACCCAATACCCTCTTCTGGTGTGTCTGAAGACAGCTACAATGTACTTAAATATATAGAATAGATAAATCTTTAAAAATAAATAATAATAAAAATCCTGGCTGGGCGGTGGTGGCGCACGCCTTTAATTCCAGCACTTGGGAGGCAGAGGCAGGCGGATTTCTGAGTTCGAGAGTTCGAGGCTAGCCTGGTCTACAGAGTGAGTTCCAGGACAGCCAGGGCTACACAGAGAAACCCTGTCTCGAAAAACAAAAACAAAACAAAAAAAGATAAAATAAAATAAAAATCCCAAGCTGTGTTAGATGTGAACACGGAAAACACTGCACACTTGACGGGATGCACCACAAGAAAGAAATTTCCCTAATCCTGTAACTTTCTTTTGTAAGCAATGGCATCTTTGGTCTTGACAACTTCACTTTTACCTTCACCACACAAAATGTATTTACTGCCCAATGTATGTTGGAATATTGTGTTAGGGTTTTCTTTAATCTTTATTTTATCTGTATGGCTGTTTCCCTACTTGTGTGTATCACTTGGAGTACAGAAGAAGCTGACAGATCCCTTTGGGACTGGAGTTAGATAGTTACAAACTGCCGAGTGAATGCTAGGAACATAACTCAGATCCTCTGGAGAAACAACCAGTGTTCTTAACCCCTGAGGCATCTCTCCACCAAACACCCTCCCTCCCCATCTACCCTCCCTAACCCCCCCCCAAACTCCCACACTGCCACAGTTTGTTTTATGGTCTAAGCCTTTTGATGCTGGGCCAGTGACATACAAACCTCAAAACACTCCCAGAACACATCTAAATTACAAGGTAGACTCTTTCAAAACACATTTGTGAAGCTAGCGGTACATCTCAGTAAGAGAGGGCTTGCCCAGCATCTTCAAAGTCACAGGTTCAAATCCCTGCTCCAATAAAGAGGAATGGGAGAGATGGATTTTAGGTGTTTTCAAATTTTTGTTTATTTTGGGAAGTTCTAAGTATCAACAGGGATCTTGTCTTTATTCTCCTTCCTTCTTTTCTGGTGCCTCCCTGAACTTCCTGTCGAGTCTCCCTACTCTTTGATGTGTTGTAAAGTCTCCAGAACTGTCATGGTCTATCCTTCTGTTCAGTGTCTTCTCACATAGGCTTGCCCTGTTTCCATTTGGATTTGTTCTTTGTCACCTGTGGTGGCCTTTTTCATTTTTTTTTCTGTCTGATTTATTGTAATAAAGATCTGTTGGATTGGAATGTCGTCCAAGTTAACTGTTTTGTGGTCCCAGATGCCTTTGCAGTTGGTTGGTAATGTAAAATCTCTGTAACAAGTAATATCCCAGTGGCCGTTTCAGTCTGGACTGTGGGTTTGCTGTGGGCAAGATGGCTACTCGTTGCTTCTTCCCCCCTCACACACCAAGCCTTCCAAGCGACCTCATGTCTAGACACAAGTCTCTTTCCATCTGTGCTGTGTCCCCTTTATTTCCCAGCAGTCATTGCTCTGATCCTGGTCTCACACCTGTCTGCAGCATCTTGCCACTGTGTCAGAACCAGTGGTCCAGTTTAAAAGGAGTCCAGAATTCAGCACGGCCTTGTGGCAGAGGAAGACTCTAGAGGGTGATGCAGGAGTGAGATTGCCAGGAAAAGTGTGAAGTAAAACAGGGGTGGAGAAGGAGGACACAGCTCAAACATAGTAGGACATGTGGAAGTGAGTGTCACAAAGTATGCCAAGTAAAAAAGGAAATCCAGGCTGGGCATGTGGCTCAGCAGGTAGAGCGTCTGCCTGGAATGCGTGAGGCCATGGGTTCCATCTCTGGTATTGCATAAGTCAGGTTTGGTGGCAAATACTTAGAGGATGGTGGCGGGAAGACCATAAGCTTAAGGTCACCTTTGGCTGCAAAGAAAGTTTGAGGGCAGCCTGGGCTGCAGGAGACCCAAATAAAAAGAAAGCCAGATTTTAGAAACTTCTGGAAACACGTAATTTTGCCATCATGTGAACTACAACGAACTATGGAAGAACCTAGAAGTGTTTAGCCTGGGAGATGCCCATCCAGGTCACCCAGGAAAACCCAGTCAGGCAGTCTCTGGGCAGGGTTGGGGACTGGGGAAGGAAGAGTATTCACCAGGCCCATGAAGATCATCTTGAATGGGAAGTAAACCAGTTTCGAATGGGGAGGGAAGATGAAGGAGACAGATAGACAGACAAGAGAGAGCTCTGGGAAGACACCTACAGACACAGGAGGGTCACAGGCAGGAGAGATGGGGCTTAGTTTGGTTTGCAGGAAGGCTGGAGGGAGCGGTTCCTGGATGGGGGAGGTGGCTGACGCTGAAGAAGGAGGAGTAGTCAGAGTCAGAGAAAAGGCTGTCTCTCGAGTCAGCTGTTTGGTCCCTTTTGAAAGGGGAACATGATTGTCTTTGGTGGCCATACCCTACAGTGTTTTCCTGGACGGAAGACAGAAAAGGAGATATTGCTTTTCCATCCTAGTACATGGAGCCCACAAGTCTCCAAGGAGTCACGGCTTCAGGATGGTCCAGGACAGAACAGGACAGGAGCACTGCAGAGTCAGCACAAGGACAAGGACCACTTAGAAGCCAGCAGGGTGCCTGGGCCGGAAGAATTCATTCCAGAGGCCTCTGAGCCTTGGACAAGATTCTCTGTTCCAGATCAGGGTATCGAGGGAGGAGGGCTGCATAGACCTGGACAGACAGAAAGAGCAGTATATAAGTGGGGAAGGAGAAGTGGCTCTCACAGCTGTTCGCAGCCTCAACGTTTAAAAACGTAAATTCTAGGGCTGGGAAGACGGCCCAGTGGTTTAGAGCACTGGCTACTCTTCCACAGCACCTAGGTTTGAGTTCCAGTACCCACATGGTGACCCATTACCATCTGTAACTCCAGTTCCAGAGGATCCCAGCACCCCCTTCTGGCCTCCTCAGGCACCATACACATACATGATGCATAAACATATGTTCCCCAAACACTCACACACATAAAATAAGTAAAAATTGAAATGAATAAATGGCTATATATATACATCTCTCTCTATATATATATATTTATAAAACATATCCCAAATTTCAGAAACCTTGTGCAAAACCGATGAGGATTATGACATCAGTATTTTCTCTAAGCAGAAATGTGTTAAAATGATGATACTTTGGATAAATTAGATTAAATGAAATAGATTGTTCAAAATTAATTTTGTTCGATGAGTGGTGGTGGCACATGCCTTTAATCCCAGATCTCAGGGGGCTGAGGGCAGCCTGATCTAAACAGTAAGTTCTAGGTCAACCAGGGCTACACAGAGAAACCCTGCCTTGAAAAAACAAATAAACAAAAAAAGAAAAAGAAAAAAGAAAGAAAGAATAATTTTGTTCTAGTTTTACATTTAAAAAATTGAGGCATTGCTGGGCAGTGGTGGTGCACGCCTTTAATCCCAGCACTTGGGAGGCAGAGGCAGGAAGATTTCTGAGTTTGAGGCCAGCCTGGTCTACAGAGTGAGTTCCAGGACAGCCAGGGCTATACAGAGAAACCCTGTCTCGAAAAACAAAAACAAAAACAAAATTGAGGCATTGAAGAGATAGTGCATTGGTTAGTGCAGAGCCTGACAAATACTGAGGTGGATGCTCACAACCAACCATTGGACTGAGCATGGGGACCCCAGTGGAAGAGCCAGGGAAAGGACTGAAGGAGCTGAAGGGGTTTGCAACCCCATAGGAAGAACAACATCATCAACCAACCAGACCCCCCCAGAGCTCCTAGGGACTAAACCACCAACCAAAGATACACATGGAGAGACCCATGGCTCCAGCTGCATATGTAGCACAGGATAGCCTTGTTGGACATCAATGGGAGGAGAGGCCCTCGGTCCTGTGAAGGCTCAATGCCTCAGTGTAGGGGAATGCCAGGGCAGGGAGGCGCGGGAGTGGGTAGGTGGGGAAGCACCCTCATAGAAGCAGAGGGAAGGGGAATGACAGAGGGGATTTTCGGAGGGGGGGAAGGACCAGGAAAGGGGATAATGTTTGAAATGTAGATAAATAAAATATCCAAAAATAAATAAATAAATAAATAAATAAACCAAAAACAAAACAAAAAACCATGTATCGATCTTGCAGGGGACCCAGGTTCAATTCCCAGCATCTTTGGCTTCTTTTTTTATGCCAAGGATGTAATTCTGTAGTCAAGTGAATGTTTCACATGAGTGAGACCCTAGGTTCAACACCCAAGTGCTGTGGGGTGTGAGTGTGTGTGTATGTGTGTGTGTGTTGGGTGTGGGGTGTGGTGAGGGGAGTTGTGCTGAGGGGGTGGTGGGAGTAGGATGAGTTGGGTAAGGTAAGGTTTCCCTCTGGTTAAGTACAACAGGTTTAATATAGATGAGAGAGAAAAATTTATCTTTTAAAGAAAAGAAAAAAGGCCCTCGACAGATTGAGAGGCAAGCGCTAAGAGAAAATCCAGTGGTTTCTCACCTGGGAAGCTCCTGGGTTGGGGGTGGCAGCCAGGCTGGGCTGTGGCGCTGATTTCACAACCTCTGAAAAGGCCACACCTGTTCCTCCAGCAAGGCCTAGAGGGGAAAGGTCATCTCATCCATGCATGTCACATGAGGGTGTTAACTAAGTGTGTCAGATGCTGCTATGGTGACAAAACACTGTCACCCGGGCAGGGCAGCTCAGCAGCAGGCGCCTCCTCAGCTTGCACAAGACTCAGGCTCCTACCCAGCACAGCACAAGAAAACCCAAGTCTTTAAACTGGAGTCGCCCAACTCAGAAGAGTTACTAAAAGTTACTGATAGCAAAATTGCTTATAAAAAAATACTTAAAATGGGGTGATTTTGTTGATGTTGTTGTTATACATATCAGAGAATGGCAAGTTCAAGGCTCACCTGGAATCCAGAGTGAGTTACAAGTCAATCTGGACAACTCGGTGAGACCTCATCTCAAAACAAGTATAGGAGAGAGAGAGAGAGAGAGAGAGAGAGAGAGAGAGAGAGAGAGAG